AATTCTGATGCAGAAAACTAATAAGATACAGGGGATGAGTACGTGTCTGTGTGTGTGTGTGTAGCTGGTTGGTGGTGTTCCTTACCAGTGACACATGGAATCAATACAGTTAGGACTTCAGCGTGGTAAAAAACAGATGGTCTCTATAGACTTGTTTTATAGCTCAGGCCTGGGCGAGTGTCTTGTGTAGCTGTGCTTCTTACAGAGACAGACATATAGAGTAACTCACAGAAGGAAGAATTATATGGGCATTCATACTTCAATCATTCCACAAACACGTGCAACGAAACAGCAGAATATGCAGATCTTAGTTGGATTAAATAAAGTCCTTCGGGCTTGCAAACATAGTGTCTCTCATACATCGCTCAATCGCATTCATACACAAGTACAGGCTCCCGATCAGCTGAATGTCCAGCGTCTCGCATCCTTGTGTTGTTGCTCCTCTATAAGGTGTGAATCGATGAAAAGCAGTAAAGTGGCTGAAGTAAAAGCCTGTAACACGAGGCTGACGCATAAAAACTTCATCTAAGGTGAAAGACTGCAGAGAGAGAGAGACAGCAGCTTGAAGGCTAAGCATAAAGAGCAACTAGCACAGTTTGAGCATGAGCGTGATGGAGAAGGATTCTTTTTGCTGCTGTTGCTTCTGTTATCATCATCCTACGGGAGGGGCTGGCATCTGCCCTGTCGTGTTCATTTAAATCCAGCATTTCCTTCTTCTTTAACATATCTCCCTCAGTTGTTTTTTTTTTTAATAGTTAAAAAGTGATATTAGTTAAAAAGTTAAATAGTTAAAAACTGACATATTAAAATTACTAGTAATTTGTTGCAGGAATTAGAAAAGCTTTGATCGCGCTTGTGTTGTAAACAGAAGACCTCGATGTTATGTCAGCGATGACTGAGTTAAATATATATGAATAGGCTGTTTTGCAGTAGATTGATCGTTGTCTTTGGACGGATGGTGAGCTGCCGGTGTTCTACAGCCTGGCAAAATTAGACGGTGTTACAGGCGTTCTGGAAACCTGGCAATCTATGAAAAACTCACTCTTTCTAAAGCCCCCAGAGTTACTTTTTGGAGTACAAACACTGAAAATATTATTCTTTTTGAGAGTCTAGACATCAAACACTCGGTTTTGATTGCGAAGCCCGACCAAACTGTGGTCTTTTTAACCGTGTGTCTGAAGTGAGCTTACTGTTCATCACATAAAAGGGATTATTAATGTGGTCCCTCAGGTTATAAGTAGTTTTTCTCAGTGTAAATGCAACTTCACATCTTCAGTGTGCGTGTGTGTATCTGTGTGTTTATTACAGTTACTATCTTTGTAACAGTACAGTGCATGAGTGGATAAAAACAGCTTGTATTGAAGTTGTGACTCTCGTGGTCTCCATATGCTTACATACCTGTAACTTTATTTTTTTTAAGGATTCATTTCTGCTTTTTGTTTATTTTTTTTTTTTACTTTTTGCAGTGCAGTGTGGCTGTGTGCGTGTGTGCATATGCGCACTTTTTATATTAACTTGTCATACTCTCATTTCATGCTTATGGCGTGGATTCCCATCTTCCCTTCCCCTCAGCGCCTTTCTCAATCTTAGTAATCAAATGCATTAGTATCAATATTGCATGGGGAAACGAGCCGAATTTAAAGCTTGACCATGTCAAAGTGAGAGTCCCTAATAGCCAGTGACTGCCACCACTCAGTGGAAATTGTGCTGCCATTTTGGCTGTAATTACTGAAGCTTGGCTCTGGGTTAATATCTCGAGTGATGGGCAGTTTTCACATGGGATAAAAGTTCTAGCTTCAAAATATATTCATTGCCCATCAGTGGGAATAGCCCAAAGTAATGAATAGACTTTGTCTCTGTATGGGTTTTAATCAAATAGTGCGCAGCACTTTTTAATTTAGTTTACTTCAAAGGGGATTTTCACTGATAAACGATACATGTGTGTCAGACAGTCTTGTGATACTCTACTCTCTGTTTGTGTCTTATCTACTTGCAAATACTTCGATACAATAGATTCCTTATTCAGTCGCTTTTTACATCTAGATTCACAGATCAACACATTTTAGAAATAAAAATTAGAATGAACATAAACAGTAACTACACTGGAGCACGCTAACTAACATTTGCTGTGTTACCTTCAGATTGTGGGTAAAGTTACAGATATTTGCCAGCTTGGAGTTAAAAACATGGTAAACATCAGTACAGGTGTATTTTGTGTGATTACCTGAGTGGTCTCTTGCACATTGACCACACTCCCATTTACAGGGCATGGGTCGTCACTCTTTGATGAGTATTAAAATGGTGAATTTTATGCTTTTTAGTCCCTACACATATGAACACCTATGGGAGATATGAAGGAAATACCTTTTTCCTATCGCCCTGTTAGTTTACTAAGACATGCTAAAGTTCATTTCTGGTGGTGCATGCTAACCCAAATATTTTACTTTGACTTTTTATCCCCTCTTTTTAGTCAACTTTCATCTTTCCATGCACACTTGTCTGTGTAATCTCTTCCATTTACTAAAACTAAGTCAGAATGAAGCACTATACCCAGCGTCCATGGTTAATCTCCAGCACCCATATGGTCTTAGGCTATGTTTGGTGAGGCTGTTCAACAACAATAGCTGATGTAGTCGTGTTGTGAAGTTTATATGGCAACCGGAGGTGATGATAGTAAGCCATGTCCTAAGGGGAGACCCATAAATCACAAGTTAGGCATGTTGTGAACAGAGAGTTATTCCCTACAGATACACGAGATTCTCTCTGTCAACCCCAGTGTTTAAAGTCAGAACAATAAAGCCATCATTCATAACTTCTAGACTGTTTTTTTTTTTTACTCCCCCTCTATTCTCTCTGTTTATGTGTATTTTACTCGGTTCTTACCAATGACATCACTGGCCCTCCTGGCAAAGAAGAAGAAAAAAAAAGCGAGGACACATGTTGGTCGTGTGCGTGTAGTATTGTGTTGAAAGATGAGCTGAGCTTCTGAAAAACACCCACTCTTTCTTGGTATGGTGTCGCCACAAAAGGCCTATTGTTAATCGCGCCTTTTGTGTTTTCGTAAGTGTGCCTGCGCCACGTTTTTCTTACATATTTTCCACATTCTTGCTCATTACATATGGGGAGGACTGGGGGGTTTAGAGGTGAATAGATTTTGTGTTATATATGGATTTGGCTCTATGTGTTTGGGGCTTAATTTTCAGTGTGCCTGCAGCAGCGTGTGTTTGCTATGTGAGCCTGGTCCAGGAGTTGTGAAGGGTGGGGCACTCTTAAATGCCTGCTGTCTGGGGTGCTCGGTTACACTGCAATTAGCCCTGGTTTTCTGCCTCTCACAAGGCCACAGTCAAAAAATGGAGCCCAGCAAAACAGCTGCATTATATTAACCTTTTTAACTCTCCTGAGAATTTAACTGTTTGACATAGCTGACAAAAAATCGCAAACCTGTAGGTAGGGTTGGATAATTTCATTTTAATCTGTTTAAGTTATTTATTTTAGTTTTTACTTATTCGTTTTATTTCATTGAATTAAGGTAATGGAAGCTTTTGTATCTCAGTCTTCTACTCCTAATAAAAGGTCACCGAGATAACTGAGACATGATACAATGAGGTTAAGCGATGAAGTGTAGTACGCGTTGAAGTGATGCATCCCTGAACTTCCATGATTGCTTGTGTGCCAATGTGCTTTTGACCCTGAATCCATCTGAATGTTTTTTTTTAAGTATATTCGTTCCCTTATTTGGCCTCTGTGGTTGAATAATAACTCTTTCATTAAAACCTGAGCTGTGCAGCAGGTAAAAATGCTTTTTTCAGGGACATTTAGAAAATTATTGTTCAAATATATCAAAGATCAACGTGTTGCCAAAAAACAAAACAAAAACAGTGATAAACTGTACGTCGTCTACACAATTAGTTCAGTTGTACCCTTGTTAACCACCTACAGTGCAAGGTAGTTAATCTCCCTTCTAGTAAATCGCTGCCACCCCTTGTGTCACCTCAGCTAAGCAGAATCCCTGGAGCTTGGGGGAGTTCACCGTCTTGCACAAGGACACCAAAGCAGGGCAGATGCTGGCTGACACTTTGTCCTGTGATCTGGGTCCTCTGAGAGCGCACGGTTTTGGGTTTTCATGTTCACAGCTTGATTGCTGAGACAGACAGAGCTTTGCGTTTAAGCGTCCTTGAGCATGACACTGAATATCTCTCTGTAAGTGGTAAAAGTATGTCAGCACATATTCATCACATTCATGTCGTGATTGCTCCTAGTTCTGTCTTTGTGTGTCTCTTTATGCATAACTTGTTAATTAAAGAGTATGTAATACCACTTGGTGGTGACTGTGCGCAGCACCAGCCATATCAATGAGAAGAGGAGTGCCTGTGTGGGTGGGTGGGTGGGTGGCTGGGAGTGTAGTGGGTGTCATCCTGGGTTCCTTGGTCTCTCTGTGCAGCTTGGGGGATTAATGGCAATTTGAGTAAAACAAAGAGACGATGCCTGGGATATCGTCAGGTGCCTGTATAATTACAAGGCGGTGAGATAAGCAAATAACGACAAGATCCGGCGATTAGGAGGCGAAGAAGAAAGAAAGCAGCGGCTGCCCTGCCCTGCTAATTGAGGGATGTGAGAAAACAGTGGTTGTGAGATCGGAATGTTAAAGGTTTGGGGATGTGGCGCGTTTACTCCCAGCTGTGCCACTGATAACCTGTTACCTTCTTCCATTTATGCGTTACCGCCAATGAGGGATTGTAGAAAGTGCAGCAGACTGTCGTGACCTGTGTTCTTTTTGCTGTGGGCAAAACCACCATTGTAAACTGGAGGTTGTATATGGAATTGTTGCAACAGTGAAATTGTTATGACACTTTAGTATCATAGTATATAAATGCTAAGAAGTATGATGATTAATGTACTGTGACCAAAATCTGATTGTTACAAAGTAATATAGGTAACAAGTGTTTTTGGGTTCATCACTTTTATTTATTCATATTTATTTCCTATTCTGTGTTTTGCAGAGCGTCAAGCTGTCCTGCTTGAAGACCCCACACGTCCTCGTGCAGTTGGGGCCTCGGCTCTCCGGCCAGGTCAAAGGTCACTCCGACCCTGCCCTCCCCCTCCCCCTCCCCCTTCCCTACCAGAGCCAAGATGGCCACCAGTGGTGCCCTGCGCATCTCCTTGCAAGTCCTGCTGCCTGTGATCACTCTGCTGCTATCACTGCTGCTCACCGGCTCCAACGCCAGTAAGTACCAAGAAACTTCTCAATTTCGCTGCCTTTAACGGGTTCATCACTTATATCTGCAAACTTATTAAAAAGTGGAGTAATCACAAAAAGGGGGGGAGGGAGGGACATTATATAAGCTTTGGTGTACTTTTTTTTTTAACTTTGACCACTTCCGAGATGCTTTTGTTGCATTTTGCGATTGCACATTTGCATTTAAAGATTGCATGCTAATGACTGTTTACATCTTATCTAGGAGGGACTGCTTTAGAGTAGCCAGAGGAAAAAAAAGCTTATTTGTAAAAGCAAAGACATATTCATTTAGCTGTAGCGGTAATTCTTTGGCCTGTGTTTTTGTGTCTATGCAAACGTGGACTAGGCAGTAAATTCCACTACTGGAATTACAGGGAACTTGTATGTTTACATCACTGGAGCCACGTGTAAAACACGGCTTATACAGACAGAGGTGTTGTTTAAGTGAAACATGGACTTCTCCTTGTATATAGCCACATTAACCAATTCTAAAATTCATGTGCACACTCATGGATACACCAGGGTTAACTTGGGGTTCAGTGTCATGCCCAAGGATAGTTCTACGTGCAGACTGGAAGAGGCAGGGATCAAACCGCTGACTTTATAAACAACCCACCCAATATCTGCCAGAAAGTATGATGTTAGATAGCATTGTCAAGATAGAATAACTTGGCTAAGATGCTTCCTGTTTGGATAGGCTGTAAGTCATTGTGTGGGTATTCGATATTTGGATAATGTTCTCACAATGCACTTATTTTCATATAAAAAGATTAATATCGCACAATAATTGCCTAATTTAGGCATTGCATTTGTCTGTATGCAGTGTCCTCCATAGTTAGTAACAGTCCTTAAAATGGGAAGTAACAGATTAGACACGTTATTTCACAGTCATTGCTGACTTTTGTTGTCTACCTTGAATAATTTAAGAGGAATATTGTATTTTCCACTCTGTTTGCTCCGTGTTTTCTTTTATCTCCAATTTGACATTCAATGAATTTGTTCTTAGTGGTTCATGATGACACGATTGCTTGATTTTCCTCATGTTCCAACAGAGGCGAACCTTTGATTGCACAGTGGTTTGACTGTCTGGTAACATAATTGGAGTGTCTTTCAGCTCAGCTGGCAAAAAATATCTAAAACTGCACTCCGACAGATGTCAAACAGATGTCTTTGTTCTCACTGACAGCGAGGCCGCAGACGAATGCGGAGCGAAAGTAAACGTCTTAGAGCCCCTGAACTTAATATGTGGCTCATTAGGATGTTTTTGTCTTCTGTCCACTCGCCGACTGTTTATTGCGACTCTGTTTCTCCCTCGCGCAGCCTCTGTTTGCTCGCCCTGGTTTAAATAACAATCAGTGCAATCTGCTTCATCTTTGATGGAGATTATCCCCCCCGTACCCCACTGCCATCACCCACCCTCTCACTGTCTCAAAACAGTAGGGCTCTCTGCCCATCTTTGTCGATGCCGTCTGTAGATGAGATTGCTGTTTTTTTGTCAGACTTCCTCGCCCTGTCCTGTTGTTTCACTCACATGCTTGTACTTTTGTTGTTGTTGTTGTTCTCCCTTTTTTGGGGTAAAAAAGACACACACAGGCACATATATGCATGCTGTCTTACTCCTTTTTCTCATCTCTTTTGGGGGCCGCACTATTATGCTTGGAAATATATGCACAAAAGCACAGACTACCTTCCTCTCCTCCCTTTGAATGGCTTTCACCCCCACATTCATGGACAGACACACACAGCCCAGTAGTGCAGTTGTCCAATTATTTTCACTCCCACTTGCCGGACTGAAAGGATGCCACCGTTTTGCAGAAAAGCCCAACTGAAAGCATGATGTCATCCCCACCTCTCACGTCCCTCCCCTCTCTCTCTGCATCTGTCTCTCTCTCTCTTTCTCTCCATCTCCCCTTGCCCTCCATTCCTTTTATTTACGCTCATAAATCACGGTGAGAAGGAGACATTTTTAATCAAAAGAGAAAGAAATATGGCTCAATAAATCCTGCCACCCCAACCATAATAATGCTTGGCTTGTGTGAATGTCTATATTTGTATACATTTGTGTTCAGGTACACAAATGTAAATGTTTGCGTGTGTGTGCAAAGTTTGAAATATGCTTATGCTTACACCTGAGCCTTTTCACAGGTAGCTGTAAGATAATGATAAACTATAGAAGTATAACATTTGTATAATGCCAGTATCATCCAACAACAATACTTTTGCTTACATATGATTTGTTTTCTTTTTAATTTGTTTGAGCTCTTGTTTTTTTTTTTTCATTAGTTCATTTAATCAAGCCAATTGATTCTCAGACACGGATGATACAAAGACCAAACCAGTGACAAAAGAAATGTAGTTAGCGATTGAGTAATTTTTCATATCTTTATAGAATGCCTTAAAGTCACGATTAAAGGTAGAAAAGCATCCAGCACAAAGAATATAAAGCTTTAACTATATCAGACAGTTCTGGTTAAAAGGGCAGGCTGTTTTCCTTTAGAAAAAGAGTCTCTGTTGATACCCAAAATAGAGGCCTACTTTACCGATATAAGGGTTTAAAAAAATGAACAACACTGTCAGCGTGTTGGACTCATTAGAAGCATGAATGACATGATTAAAAGGGGACATAATGGGGTCGTTGTTTATTAACTTGCTGAAATTGATTGTCACAAATAATTTATATACATACACATTACTTGTGAGTTGGGCTCTAATGAGAAGTGTTTACAATTTTGTAAACCTCTGGTTGCCTCTGTAGTGCAGTGGGTTACAGATTCAGCTAACAAGCAAAGGGATCCTGGTTCAGTCCCCGGAGGAGATACAGATCCCTTTGGAGCCACGTCAGGAAGAGTATCCGGTGTTCAAAAAGGGGAAAAAATGGCTAAATCAAACATGCTACCTGGGTACTCCTATATAAATAAAAAAGTTTTCATGTTCAAACTTCAGCTGTAGTAGTGATGCCATATTATATTTTTATTGTGACTACATGTCTTTATCAATTGTATTCACACCTGCACAAACGAACCGCACCCAATGGGAAAACGAACCCGAGTTCGATGTAAACTACCTGAACAGTGCAGGTGCGAAAACATTGTTTTGTCACATCTTCAGATAGAATTCATGTGGATTTTTTTCTCCTTTCGTTTGGAGAAATAAGTTTTGTTTTTGTTACTTCCTGTTGAGAAGCTCGCTGTTTTACGCTCAAGTTCAAACCCCAAACTTTTTCTTACTCTCTGCTAATATTTTTTTAACAGGTAAACCAGAGTATTCATCATCTTTTTTTTTTAAGGCATTTCACCTCCTCCTCACTTTTTCCTCCTCCTTTCTCTTTGCCTGTTAAGAGTTCTCAAATGTTGCTTTCTTGGCAAAGGACTTCTAATAGTAATTGGCCAGAACTCTCAGTGATGGGGTGAGGGTGTTCAATTATTTATATTCCTTTGAAGCTGCCAATTGAAAAAGAAAAGAAAATGAAGCCCCTTAGTGGAGAACATTTTCTTGTTCCTGTTTCCAATATCTTCACCTCTTGGTTTCTCGCTTCTTGTTTCTCTCAGTTTTTCTTTTTCTTTCTGCCTGCTTCAACTCCCTCCTTATCTTTTTCCAGTCAAATTGTGTTTGAGGCTCTCGATTTAGTTCCGTCAGTTCAACTTTATGTACACCCTGCTGTTGCATGCTGGGTCCTTGTGTTTACTCTATGCACTTTTTTCCCACTCTCAAATGAGAAGAAAACAAGTTAATTTTTAATTGAGTTACAGACTTGAATCTGCTGCTTCAAGAAGCCTGCTGCTGCGGAGTAGTGGTTGAAATCTCTGAGCTGTACATTTACAAGTAGTAGACAGAAATGCTCCGACCCACTCACCTGCATCTTGTTTTCTAATCTTAATGTTTTAACTACACATTTAATCTGGATTTCCACTCATGTCATGTCATATATTCATGTGTTGTTCCTCAGTGACAAGAGTGCAAAGAATTAAACAAAAAAATGCACTGCTAATGCTGTAATGCATAATTTAAGTTGCACTGTTCTGTTTATATGGACTCGTGTCTGCTGCAGAAATGGTCCCAAAAGAATCTCCAAATAAGAAATATCTATTTAAAACACTTATTTCTAAGATTGCAAAGGTGGCTGTTTTTCTTTGTATGTGACTTTAAACACAGAGAAAGATGCAGTAAGCATTTGCTGTTTTGTTTTCATTGAAATGCTAGACCCTGTTCCCTGCTCCATTTTCTTTCTCCTCTTTTGTGTTTTGTCTTTTGTTTTGATCAGACCTATAACACCTTTGGCAATTTGAGGTGTCTTCTTCATTTAATGAGCCAACAAGTGTCAATTGCCTCAAGTGAGTCTCTAAATGACACAAAATTGTTCTCAATTTGCCTCATCCGTGCGCGCTCTGTGGCCATTTTGAAATCAGGCACATACTTAAGCTTAATTTCCGTCCTCTCTCTGAGGAATCACACCTACTTATTTCCAATGGGCTGAAGGATACTTAGTGACTTTAGCTTTTTACTTTAGCCTTCAACAATGGTTTCAGTGGGACCAATTTGTGCATTTTACAAGTGTGCCATTCTTTTAAGAAATGCAGCTTCCCTGTGACAGCAGTGCTGTCAGGCTGTTTTTCACCTCCTGGATACCAGCACACATTTATTATGTTTTAAACCCTGGGTTCCCACATCCTGAGCAATGCCCCGTGGACTTTTAAGAAGTGAAGTGGTCAACAAGTAAAGTTAAAAAATATGGCACACATTCAGTAGTTTGCATGCAAGCACATCACTTTTAGCTGCCTCGTGCCCTGTTGGCTTTAAATGTATTAGTTTATTAAATAAGTGACAGAAATTCTCCAGAGGCAACGTCATGTGTCCTTACTTTGTTGTTTTTTTTCTAAAAGGACGAATTTGAGATATAATTTTCACTGTCTGTTCAATCAAGGCATTCAAAACCGCCCCAACACAGAAATTCAATAAGCCTTTCTTCTGTCGCCTTCTGCCTAGGAATC